CATAGATAATCACGCCATCTGCCAAGAGGAGCAGCTTCTCTTTCTTGCCGATCTGGTCCTGTTTTCCTTTTCTTGCACTGGCTATCACTTCGGCATGATGCTAAATGTTGGTGGCAACAGTAAAGGCTATCCTCTTGAAGCGCATCCCAGGGAAGAACATTCATCTGTCCCCCACTAATAGGTCACATGTCAGCTTTGGAAGAGGCCTTTTTGCAGATTGAGGACGTTCCCTTCTCTCCATAGTTTGCTGGCAGCATTTATCACGGAAGAATGTTGAATTCTGTCAAATGTTTCCCCTGCGTCAATTGATGTCATTATGTGGGTTTTGTTCTTTAAGCTGTTAACAGGGTGGATGGCATCTATTGATTTTCAAAAACTGAACCAGCCTTTTGTTTCTGGGAAAAATCACAATTGATTGCGGTAAGCTATTCTTTCTTTCTTTCTTTTTTTTTTTTAACAAAATGGTTGGGTTCAATTTCCTTAGTTTTTTGTTGAGGACTTTTGTGTGTATGTTCATGAGGGCAACTGGCCTGTAATACTGTGTTCCTAAACTATGCTTGTCTGGTTTTGTAAAACAGATGTGCATTAAACACTTTTTCAGAAGTCTCAGATGATGATTTTACTATTTTTAAGTCACAAATATGTTTACAAAACTGTAAACATAGTTCTAACTTTGTTTTTCTGCTAGAACGCATTTGATTCTAAGTCCCTATCAGGAAAACAGCTTCCAAACATAACCACAATCTTCCTAACAAAAGATGAGGCTGTCTTAAGGTAGCTCTGGGACTCCAAAGCTGTGAGACCCACTTCTGCACTGGTCATCAACCGAGTGCCCTGCACTGCCCCCACCCGCATGATGCAGACAGCAGGGACAGCGCTGACCGGCTTGAGATGAAAAGCCAACAAGGGTTCCATCAAATAAGAGATGTTATCACCCATGCAAATACTCACCTCTGCCCTTGAATTATCGAAGAAAGCTCCTAACCCCCTAATTCTTACACTTGCTAAAATGCTCAGTCATTACCACCCAATGAGGAAGCTAAGTCTCGATGGACTTAGACTTAAAGTAGATCGGGAGAGCTAAAATGTGATGTAAACATTTGCTATCACCCAAATTTGTGAGTAGAAGTCCTAAGCAAAAGCAATGCAACATCAGAAGGTGAATCAGGCACCGGCAGGGCTCAAGAAAGGTGTGTCAAGCACAAGAGCTCCCTGTAAGGTCTTTCTGGAACTGAAATGCTGATTCTGCTCGTGGCACTTTTGAGAAAAGGCTTGTGGGTCCAGAGCAGGACACTGCTCCTCAAAACAGGCCACTGATGAAGCCCACTGTGGAGTCAAAACCCGACAAGCTGGGCCCTCCCTGGTGGTGCAACCGGTTAGGATGCGGCATTGCAAGGGAGCCACAGCCGCTTCAGTGCGAGTTCGATCCTCAGCCCTGGAGGTGACCCACATGGTGTGGCAGACCTCTCCTGTCGCTGCTCCCCTCAGCAGTGGACTTCATCAACATGCCTGTTCAGCTCCCCACGCTGTCTCTGGTGAATCCTCCCACCGCCCCTGCACCTCTGGCCTGCAGCCCAGTTCTGTATGTGTAAATAAATCAATCTTTAAAAAACAAACAAAAATAAAACCTGACAAACTGGCAACTACCAGCTTATAAATCACCCCAAGAGTCGCCAGGTTCCAAGGCACCCTTGGGTTCAAGGTCTCCTGCTCTGCTATGTGGAACAACTCAAAATAATGTGTGCGGGAAGCCAGGCTGCCGGGGCTCCCCCACACCCCAGTCACATGACCTTGAAGGACGCACAACATTTGCACCCCAATTTCATCATCCACTAAATGGGGACGACAAGTCAGGTAAGCTTACATCATGCTGCATGATGTCATGTCTCCCCCACCCAAGAGCAAAGCTGTTTTCAACCAAGTTGCTGGAGAAATACCAATAAGCCTACATTGCTATCTCCTTAAATGACAGCTGGAAGGTAAAAACCAATCAGCGCTTACAGAATCTACATTCACAAGGAGGAAGAAGTATTTAAGTCAATAGTTCACCCTCTTTTTCCACAAAAAAGTACATTTTTACAGTGTGATACAACAGGAGACAGGTATGAGACAGGTGATACAACTAAGAGACAAGTATGAGTTTCATGTTTAAAGGACATAGTATGAAAATGCACTAATTTTCATAATATTTCAAATTGGTCTTACTACCAAGCAACATTCCACTTAATTTAATCAATTTAACTTTTATATCAGTAGGAAGTAAGCCGTTCTTTAATTCAATGTGTAACTATGATGGGAGGGCCAGTTTCTTTAAAGACAGGAAATTATAATTAGCAATAATGTAGCTAACATTTATTGCACATACAGCCCCTAATGAGCTTGGTGCTAACTTTTATACTTACTACTTCATTCTCTTGCTCCTCTGAGGGAGAGATACTTCATTTTGCAGAAAAACCTCAGCCTCCCAGTAGACTATTACTGATTCTTGTAGAGAACGGACTGCTAGACCTCTGTGAGGTTTTTAACTTAAAAGGTTGCAGGCAGGTAAGGAAACTCATGCCTGGGGACCATCTGAGTAATCTACCGTTAAAAGGCAGATCATAATTCAGAAGGCCAGTGAGGCCTCTCATTCTGCAATTCTCCCCAACTCTCAGGTGCCGATGAAGCTGTGAACTTGGAATAGCAAAGATCTATGGGCTGTAGTGAGTCACAGACTAAAAATAATGTCTATAAAACCAAAATGAAAGAAATCAGGGCCTCCCTGGTGGCACAAGGGGTTAAGCACATCACTGTGAAGCTATCCACAGCCATGATAGCATGAGTTCGATCCCCAGCCAGGGAGGTGACCCATGGCCCACGCGGTACAGCAGACCTCTCCCGTCTCACCCGCTGCTCTCCACAGCAGTGTAAGTCAGTGGACCTGCCTGTTCTGCTCCCCACTCTGTCTCCGGTGAATCCTCTCATCCGCACCTCAGACCTATACCCCAGTTCTTGTGTGCATAAGCAAATACATCCTTTTTTTCCTTTTTTAAGCCATTTTTTCCCCCAAAGTCCAAGAATTTGAACTTCTATTATCTGTATTTCCTGATGGGACTCGGAGCTTTATTATGTCTTAGAAAGAACTTCATAATGACTTCTTGTTTTCTTTTTTGGTTTACAGTCCAATTTCTTGGAGGTGGAGGGGTGAGGGGGTGGGTCTCCCCTTACAGACCCCGATTTCTATTAAGATGAGATTATCAGGTATATGGAAAGCTGTTTCAAGTCACCACACCTTCAAGCAGGTCCCCTTCTTTATTCACCCACATAGAACCTGTTTAAATTCTAGAGGTTAGACTAATAGCAGAGACCCACGAAAACTAATGATCTATCAACCAATACAAAACAGCACTTTACAAAAAGCTAATGACAAACACCACTCACTTCCATTTCTGGACAAAAGTCAACGCAGCAATAATTATCATTTTATACAAACTACTGGTTTTCACTCTGAGATCAGACCCTTTCAGTGGTGAATTCAAAAGTCTAGGAAAAAACAAAGCAAGGTACTGAAGAAGGCCCTATCTCCCACCTGGGTTCAAGTTCCTGCTCCATACCCCTTTCTGAAGGTACAGTGCTCAGACACTGACAGCTGCATTTCAACAGGCTGTCCCACACCTCCCCCTTCTCCATTCTCTTTGCTAACAGCAATGGCTGACTACTATCCAATATATCTCTGAGAACATTCCAGCTTAAGGGATAAGATCACTTTAAAATTCTGGAGAGGGATACTTTGCTCCATTTGTCTATCCTTAGAGCTCTTCAAAACTACCCTCAGGCCATCAACAGAAGAGCCTTTCACCCAAGAGGAGGATAAAACACTCCATGATTCTGCAATTTACAGACACCAAGACCTTTATTTCAAGGGTGTCCACATATTATCTTATTCCCAAGGAATGTTTATCTATACACTTAAGTAAGCACAAGAAGCCCAATGCTTGCAAGAAACAAATGCACACACATTGCAGCACGGTGCAAATGGCTTCTCTGGCAGAGAAATCTATAAAGTTCTGCTGCTGGGCCTCACAGGAAGGCCTACCTGTAAGTGGGAATATGTGGACAGGAAGATTTTTCTCTGAGCTGGAACATACCCTGTCCACAACAAGGCTAAGAGCAACCGCCAGGAGAGGTCTGTTACAAAACCACAAAAGAGGGGCAAGAAGAACCTTCCAGGCCCCTGCCCTGAACATCCTGGAAGCTAAAAATAAGAATTCTGAGAAAGGAGCTCTACTGCTGACAAGTCCAACAGAAAGTTCTCTGTTTCTGTTACCTCCAAAGCTGGCTGCCCTCCCAGAATGATTTAACTCTGGGTACCAGTTGTGCATGCCCGTGCCGGGCGGAGGGCTCAAGGATGCCGGCTCTAGGTTAACTGGGTGAAATCAATTTCACCCAATATACACGGGAGACTTTTGGGCGGATCTGGGCTCCCCGTGCCTCCATTCAGCAAATATTTACTGAGCGTCCACAGTACGCCCGGCACTCTGCCCGGCACTGTGCAGGGCGCCGGGGAGGAAACCCAGCCACCCGGAGCCCCAGGGGTAGGAGCAGACGACCAGGGCCGTGCGGAGAGGTGGAGGTGGTGCGGCCCCTGAAAACCCGCCACAAGTTGCAGCCATCAGCAGACGGCACGAGCCCCGCTCCCGGCTCTGCGCCACACAGAGCCCAGTAATGAAACTGGCCCGCGGCTGCCAGGACCGGAGTAGACAGGTAGGCCCGAGGGCAGGTGCCCAGGTAGGCACACCCGTGAGGCGGCAGGGCCGGCGGGGGTAGTCTCCGGCCGCGGGCGGGGTCCCCAGAGAGGGCGGGAGGGGGGCCGCGGGACCCCACGAGGAAGAGGAGGTTCGGGGCGCGGGAAGGGGGTGCGCGGGGAGGCCGGCCGGGCCTGCGCCCCCGACGCGGGAGCCGGGAGGGAAGGCGCGCGGCTAGGCCGCCCGCCAGCACCTGGGGCCGCGCCCGGTACCTACCACTTGGGCGACCTTGAGGCAGCCGAGCGTGCCGCGCAGGTAGTCGGGGTCGCAGCGCAGGCCGGCCAGCCCGCGGCGCTGGCTCACCGGCTCGGTGGTGGGCTGGTACGGGCTGCTGGCGCCCGAGATCATGGAGGTGCTCGAGGCCTCGCCCTCGAAGCCGTCCAGCTCCTCGCCGCTCCGCATGCTGCCGTCCGGCCCGGGCCGCCTCGCGCGGCCGCCTCCCG